GTGGCCAAGTTTGGACAACACTGAAATAAGGCATGAGTAAGCAAGCTATAGCTTGGCATATTGTGTGTGAACCCAGCCTATGGGAGGCATAACTTTCCATTCCCCTGTTGGCATCATTTTGCTGTAAAACAAGCTCCAACCTTGGTCTGTGAAGCTGTGGGCCAAGCATTGTCAGGTTGGACAGAAACACCATGCCGATGTCTGGCCTTTTAAGAAGATTGCTTTTGTCACCTGATGAATAAATACAGGCTGGTAAAAAGTCTTTAGAGGTTTCTTATTGGATTTTGGATATTTAGACATCTCACTTCTGTGACTGAGGCTGTGCTGGCCCACCAGGGGATGGCATTTACTGCTTGCATTCTGTTGGCAAATAGCCTTCACAACAGAATCGGTGTCTTGTGTTACCAGCAAACTTCTTGAACGCTATGATTCATCTGCAGTGTTTTCACTACTGGGAACACAATACACTTGCACTCTAATCAGAGTCAGCTTTGGTTTTCAATCCATTTCTGGATGCAAAGCTAGATGTTACATTGGAGTTTTCAAGAATGGTGTTATAAAACCCAAGCTATTGTTTCTTTTGTACTACTCAGCTAAGAGGAAAAGCCCTGTGGACAAATTATTTCCAGACAGGCTCTAGGCTAGCTGCCACAGAACCCAAATAATGATTTCTCCAAGTGACTGCTTTCCATTCACAGTTCTAAATAGTCTTTGTGGAAGTAAAGTCCTACTGATTTTAATGGAACCACCACTTTAGGAATATTTTAGTGAAAAAAAGAGGAAAACAAAGATGGTTATCCTTCAGATCTCATTTACAGTTCCTGTATTATTTCAACAAAGGATAATGCTTATTCAAAGTATTGTCGAAGGCTTTCATGGCCGGCATACTATGGCTGGTGTGGGTCTTCCGGGCTGTGTGGCCGTGTTCTTGAAATTTTGTTTCCTAACGTTTCACCAGCACCTGTGACCGGCATCTTCAGAGAGGAGGAGCAGTTCTCTCTGTGCCCAGGATGAGGGGACCCTTTTGTGGGTATTTATAGAGATCTGAGGGAGGGGATTGGGGGTGTGTGGGGGGGTTGGGTTACTGAGTGGCTGCTTGTTTTGGTGTCAGCATCTGT